TTATTTCCTAATTTAGAACTCTTTTCCAATTCCTTTTTTTGTTGTTAATTCTTTACTTTTTTAAATGGAGTGAACGGATTTTCGAGTATTCCATTTTTCATCTGCAGTCAGAACATCAATGTCGAATTAATTATGATACGAATTATTTATCACACGTATTCACCAGATCTGGCCGCAATTGGACTTTTTAATCTAACTTTTTACAGATTTGCATCAAATGAGGAAGTGATACCTGTAACAGAGGCTTATTTCTCAGGTTAACAAAAAAATTTTGGATCGATTGATGTGTTGGGGTATCGCTGGTCAAAGTTAAAAGATTATGTAGAAAAATAACCCATAATTATTTTTTGTCTTCTCAAAGTTACGGACTTGTCAATCATGTATTTGCAATACTTGATTGGCGTGACAATCATAAGAATAAAGTAAATTTTTATCATAATACATATCATAGTAAACAATTTTAATATTTATCGAGTTCTTAGGTTTTCGCGATTGTTACACATAGGAAATGAAACTATTTTTCCGGATTTAGAATATTACTAAATATTTAAATTTCATTTGTTTGTGTCTCTTCACTTGTGTTATTATACTGCCTGTACATTGTATGTGGTATTTATAAGTGACTTGTGCCATTACGATTTCCTGTTACTTGCCGCATAGTTAACTATGTATTTCTCAATGTCGCAAATTGTATGAAGTAATCAGAAGAGTTAATTCGAGTGATACTATTTTTGTGCTTTGTGCTATTGCAATATACTGTACAAAGAATACAGAACATTAATTTTTTTTAAGTAAATGGATTTGCAGTTTCTTCTTCTGGAGCAAAGATAGGATCTACGATGGAACGAGCTCGTCCAGAAGAAGCCAATTAAGTCGCACCTTAAAGATACTCGGGTTGTATGTGCTTGGAAAGACAGACACAGGCAGGCAATTCCATTCCTGGGCTGTGCGCATAATAAAAGATGACGAAAACGCTTAGTACCTACGCCTGAAGGGAATATCGACTAAGTAAGAATGATATCCAGCTTTACGTCTGGATATCCGATGGTAAAAAGGGGCGAGTGGGATGAGGTCATGGAGCTCATGGGCACAGTGACCGAATATATTCTGTAGTAAACCGACAGACCGGCAACTTTACGCCAGTATGCAAAAGTATAAAGTTTGGATTCGAGTTTATCGTCGCCAATAAGGCTCCGAGCTCTTCGTTCAACCGAATCAAGAGCCTCAAGTTGATATTTCGCTGAGCCATTCCATAGGTGACTTCAATACTCCATGCAAGGTTGGACTTGTGCTTTGTACAGAGTTAAGAGTTGTCCAATTCGTCAACGGGCGTAATTCACTTTTAATAAGTACTTACATGTGAATATATGAAACCGTGATTTGAAAGTTTTGAAGTCCGGTTTTGAAGGGTAAGGGTGCTGGTGAAATTACATGGGACTTTTCAAATGCAACTGTCGTGCTCTTATACCTATTATATTGTTTTATTGCGTTTATCTCCGTTTTGTAATATTAGGAAACCCTCCGGGGTTACATCCAGGACTTAACACCACACTTAGTAAATTTGAAATTGACTAGTAGCAGTAGAGTTCCTTGTGAAAGATTGTCTCTGCCATCTTAACTATTTCTGCCGCCAAGCAGTATTGTGAGCATTTCTACGTTCCGGTTTTGAAGGGTAAGGGTGCTGGTAAAATTACAGGCACATGGGATTTTTCAAGTTATGTCTCAGGGTGATGGCAGCAGCCAGTGCACCTCAGATATTTGCAATTCAAAGCTCTGAGTGGCACAGCAACTGTTATGGACAGGCGTGTCGTTTACCATCAGGCGCACGACTTATTCGTCCCATCACTTAGTATCATAAAAAAAATTGACAAAATCAGTGAATAATGTGGTCTGTGGTGTTTTCTCTATTCCACAATTATTATTATGAGTTACTATAGTATTTGGTTTCACGTACATCGTGTGTATTTTAAAGAAATATAAGAACCTGGTTTACATACGATTTTAGATTTAATACTACGTTTAAGGCACTTCATACTACCATTTATTTTCTAGATTCAAGGCCGAATAACCAGTTTTATATGAGTTTTATATCATGTCTTGGAAGCAAAAAGTTACTGCCACTATTCATTTTGTTTCTATTTTTGTCTGTCTTTGCATCGTGTGAACGTCTTTTGTTTTGAGAATAGGTCTGTATGGTTCTACTTTTGTATTTATATTTAAAATATTACTATGTTAGGTTTAGTAATACTGGTAAGTAGTATTTTTTTAGAATAAAACATTGAACTTGACCTCCAAAATAACTAACTGCAATTAACTTGTTCTAAATGCAGCTAGTTATGTATGAAGATAAAGATATCACACCCTAGGTGTAATAAGGCCACATCTACAAAGTGGTAAGGAGAGAGGTTTAAGAATTCAACGAATGAAATTAATTGATAACATTTTATGCTTAAATAGGAGATTTATAATATTTCGCATATACATAATGTGAAATTTATGTGTGGTTTGTGTTGTTTTTATGATCTTCATGTGATAAAATTAATTAATTAATTAATAACATGTGAATTAAGGGTACCTACAAGCATTGCCATTTTAAGAGAAATTCTATTGTTTCACGGAACTATAGCATTAGTATATTGCCTATAGTAAGTAAATATTTCGAAGTGGGCTACTACCGAAAATTGGACCTTACATCGTTTGGTTTTAAAAAAGATTTTGGACTACTCTTGAAATTGTTTGATTGTAAGTAGGTCTTTTATAGATCGATACCTCCAAAGAACAACTACGCCAACTTTATTTTTTGGTAATTTTCTACTATTTTTGTAAATAGTCATATGTATGTATTTACTAATATTGTTCCCCGAATTTTGTGAAAAAAAGAAACAAAAAAAAAGTTTGAAAAAACAAAGAAAAAACGAATTTTGTGAAAAAAAATAAAGAAACAAAATAAAAACAGAACAAGTCCAAAATTAAGCTGGCGTAGTGTTCATTGGATGTATCGAGATAATCAAATTTATTGTGAGCAAAATACTAACCAGTTGTAGGTTTCTTTATCACTGCACAAATAGAAACCGCTAATCCTGATAATAGTGCTGCTGTCAGAATAGCCATACCCCAATTGGTTAGGTATAGGAGCCAGTAGTAGCTGGGACTCTCGCACAGTGACCAAATAAGTATACCCAAGGCGACAGAGGCCAATATTAATCGCACCACTAGTAGTGGTACAGCTGAATCTCCGCGTTGCCATGCCGATGCGTAGAAATCACTTAACTTGTCATGCGTCGTCACCCAGAAGTCCGATAGGGTTACGTTCTTCCTATAACATTTTACCATGTTGATCAAAAGGTTTTGCTAGTGGTAGCAAAGGTGTTTACTTTTAGAAATCATTTAGACATGTTTAGTATTAATTTACATAAACTGATAAACAGCTAAAACTTCTAACAACACACTTTTGCTGCGAACGAGTTAAATGTGATGAGAGAATTGGACTCGTAAACTTATCCTTGTGTCAATGATGGTTATCATTTAGTGATAATATTAATTACTATATAGTTAAAAGTTGTGCAAAACAAATAAATAATATTTGTAATGTCCTGGCACAGTTACGAGTTAAAATATCGGCGAATTATTTTAATTATGTTCCGATTTAAATAGTATTTTCAAGATTATATAGGTCGACGTAACAGTAGAAAGCTATAAAACGCGTTGCAAGCGTAACTGCAAACCGCAATTTTTTATTATCATTGACAAGATTTATATAATTTGAACTAGAAGTTTCGTTTGAATTAAAGGCAGTGGCCATAGAATTGCCGCGAGAATATAGAAATACGCGGATCGCGCACGGATCGCGAACGGTCACTGGTTGACTGTCCACGCCGCAGGCGTTGCGCCTGCGCCGGTGGTGCAAGCTACACCTCCAGTTTACTTGCGCAAACGATATTTCACATTTATGTAACTGCCCGTTTTTCTCTCCAGCTGACTCAACTAACCGTATTGCGTAGAACATACTATACACATACATATCATGTACATAATTATAATTTGCGTCAACTGATCTCTAATAGTCCCAGTTTACAAACTGGTTTAATTTAAATTTTATAAGCATAAAATAAGATTTACTTTATACAAAAAATATTTTTATGAATTCTTTTTGAATACATATTTAAATTTTTATTATTCTTGCACATATTCCAGAAATTGCAATTAAAATTTAATAGTCGCCGTAGTAAAGTTGTTGCAATTAGCACATTTTTTAAATTATTTATTTTTATTAATAATTATTTATTACAATTTTGAATGTCTTGAACAAAAGCTAAACCTCAATGTTTATGTAAACAAAGTATGAATTAATATTCGACTAACACGATGGCCCAACGGTTTGCAATGTGGGCGCTGGATTTGGAGGGCCTGGGTTCGATTTTCGGTAGGGCCAATTTGGAAAATGAACTTTTCTAAATTGGTTCTTTTTTTTAATATATAATAGACACACGCTTGGCCACAATCTGACCTGATGTTAAGCGACGATGTGACCGACGATGGGACGCGTTTGCCTAAAAAAATGCCTATTCATTTTAGCCTTGAATAGCCCCAAATTGTACTTTTCGGGAAATACAGAGCATTCCATTCCTTTGCTTTAAGCATCAGAAAGGAGGAAGCACAGCGCATAGTGCGAATAGGTGGAATATCAACGACATAAGAATGGAGTGCTTCGGACCTTCTAGTCGACTAAAGGAGGAACGGTGAGGGTGCAACTAAATTGGAAAGTTCCTGCTCACACTCCTCGAAATGTATCCGATAGAAAACCGACAAGCAGGCTACTTTTCTGCGATGGTCGAGATTTTGTAACTTCGACTCCACAAGAGAATTGTTGTTAATAAGTCTGCTTTTCGCTCCACCGAGTCCAAAGCAGTTGTTAAGGCAGTGAGTCTGGCTGTTACGTGTAGAATTCCATTGCTCTGGTACTCGTGGTACAGGGAATTCCCTAGTTTGAGACCAGGTAATTGGTGCGGTTATCTAAAAAAAAAAGAATAACGCACACACTCAACATAGCCCCGCACTAGGGAAACTCTGTGTCACGGGTGCCATGGACACACACATAGACAACCACAAATTACACCCAAACTCACGAGAGAAATAAACGTAGGCCATACACATATTTCTCCCAGAATGGGAATCGAACCCTGGATCTCTGCATGGCAGTCCGGCATGGTAACCGTTCGGCCACGGAGGCAGTTATATCTCTGGCACATTATTATTATTATTAATACACAACAACACAATCATGAATATGTAGAAATTAAAATTAAAATCAAGAAACATGTTAATCTAAACGAATTTGCAGCTATAACAAATATTTGAATAAACGAAACTTGTATGTTTATGACATTTAATAAACAATAATTAGGTATTTACCTTTTCAAAAATAAGTAAAACAAAGGCACGAAGGAAATGCAACTTAAAGGCGATTTGAAAATAATTTACCACATCTACTTTACAGTGACAAAATTTTTAACATACTTACATGTTTGGGGTTGTAAAAATTTTCATCAAATAACAAAAACACTACGAATTATTTGCAAAAATACTTAAAATATGTACAAAATCTGCACATAGTAGTCCACATATTGCCCCACTTTTGCTAAATACTCATCTATGTGCACCTTAGAGGATGGAAAAAAATAAAGGAACCAATTGTTAAGATGTGCACATTAAGCGTCAAAACATTGCAGACTTAGACATATTATGTTCTACAAATACTCTATGGGTAAAATTAATATAGAGCAATGAGGATACAATCCTCATGTAACATAATGCAACTCTTACGTTAGAAAAATGTCAACAGAAGTTGTAATGCATATTGATGGGTATAACGGTACAACATATCTATGGGTAGACAACCTTCAAAAATTAAAAGTGAATAGTAAGACGTGGTTTATGGTATAATAATAAGGTCCAATCTATTGTAATTGATGAATCAAACCATTGACTTACAAATAAATGGACGACGGGTCTAATACAAAAACCACGAAAAAAATGTCCCAAGTCAACCTATTCGAAATTTAAATTGTTATGTCAACGCAGTATCGCGCTGTCCGTAGAACAAATGAAGACTAAAGCGGAGTGTCGCGCTCTGTATACGATTTTAGCGCCTTACAAGTGCGGACACTTTTTAGCGCGGACCCGACGTCCATATAATTGTAAGTCAATGAATCAAACCATTGACTTATCAAACAAACATTTACAAACAAAAATATTTCTAATATAAATTCCCATTTAGAATTTTTAGTTTCCCATAAAAATGTTAACATTGTAATTATTTAGTTTGTTTTTAAACTAAAGTTTAAAATCATTAGTGCAATAACAGCCACGAAACAGTCACATCTTTGATGATATCGTCTCTGGCCAGCAGATTAAGCTCCGCTGCATACGCGGTCCGCAGAATACGTGAGCTTACCGATGTTAGTACTGCTAGACTAGTTTACTTTAGTTACTTCCATAGTATAATGTCCTACGGGATTCTCATGTGGGGTAAAGCGGCAGATATTCAAACCATATTTGTATTGCAAAAACGAGCGATTCGTTCTGTGTACCGTCTAGGCTCTCGGGTATCTCTCAGAGAAAAGTTTAAGGAGACTGGTATCATGACTGTGGCATCACAGTACATTTACTCAAATATTTTATATGCCCGTAAAAATATACATAATTTCAATAAGAAAGAAGATATCCATAATATTAACCTTAGAACTAAGTCCAAACTCATGGTACCACGATTTCGTTTAACCAAGGTAAACAACTCTTTTATGGGGAACTGTATACGTTTTTACAATAAGATTCCGGAGCATATATTAAGTTTATCATTTCCTAAGTTTAAAAACTACATTAAAAATATTTTGATCGAAAAATCATATTACAAAATTGAAGACTACGTGTTAGATAAAGATATATGGAAAGACGACATGGCTCCAGAATCCACACAAATTTGATTCAAAGTGTATTCCATAGCATTTCAGTTTATTTGAAAAGAGCAATCCCTAGAGTTTCTTGCTCGTTCTTCTCAGGGAGGTACGCGTAGTGAACGAGCAGTAGCTTAAATGTGACGTTTTCAAGTGTAAATTTATTTTACCTATGGAATAAATAATCTTTGACTTTGACTTTGACTTTGACTTTGATAATGGATGAGACTATGAGACTATCATAAGTCTGCAAAAGATTTGATTTTTTTGTCGCATAAACGATGAATATTGAATGAAATTCATCTCCATAAATTTATATAATGAAATCATTAAAACTACAAAAAGTCTGCGTCTGCCTGGGCCTAAAGCGAAGTAAACGGGCTGTTGCGTCTCAATATCATTTATAATTGCACCACTTGCACCCACATTTCTGATTAATTGGGAAAATTTAACTGTAAGTATTCCATTTTGATCGCGTGCCTAATAGAGGGCGCCAGGGTATTGATTGCACCCGGGCACAGATTACTTAATAGTTACTACGTAACAGATACATCACTCTCGTACAAAATCGAAAATACCTACACTATAATAGCAGTACGCAAAGCAAATTGGCAATATAAAAAGGAACCTAAGTACGCTCCCAGAGAGGTGAAAATAACTTTGCCCGCCGTGAGCAGTCGTGCGAAGCCGAATGCTTACAAATGAAAGATTGGTATGAGCGCTTGCGCCGACGTTGGCGCATTTAGCGGTAGGCACTTATCGCGTAACCTTGAGTGGTGACCGAGCCCTGACCTGGGCGCTACATGAGCTAGCGCCGGCGCTGATATCTGGCGTCAAGGCATTATATATTTTCATACACATGTTGGGATGCACGAAAGGAGCCTCCCCGCACAACGTACCGCATCCTTTCGTGTACGACGTGCGCACCCTGAGCATCGGCAAGTACCTTGCGCTGATTGGTAAATCCTTTCACAACGATGGCCAGCATTATAGTGTATGCCAT